ATGTTATATCTATTAGTTCACATAACTTACTAGCTCAATCGATGATAAAAGTTGATCATCTATATCAACTAATTAGCTTTGATGGTTCGTTAACAAGCTTTAATAGCATTTACCTGCTTCAGCGACATAGACTTGTTTAAACATCAAGCTCTAGCAAATATGATCTGTAAATAGCGTAAATATACATTGACTAGCACTGCAATCAAGGACTAAATAGTTATCTGGATCTAATTCTCAGTGTTCCTTCACTGAACTCCTCATCCTGTTTTAAACTATGCACTATCCTGTAATATCTTTTCTTCCGACCACTGCCTGCCTAATTTCATATTCTCGAGTTCCATTGCCAAACAACAAGGATGACACCTCCAAAAACATACGGTGAGTTTCAGCTATAGGATTTCTGCAATCATAAGGTCTTTTTTTTAGATGGTTCGTTCAATGACAACCACACAATTATCTGGATTCATTCGATTGTTCTGATCCAAGCGAGTGGCAAAAACGTCAACAGCATCAAGCACCCTGGAAGTGATTACCATACTGCATGTTTTATTCTGGATGCTTTTCGATCAATACTACTCACGAATGGCGTTATATATGTCGTCCACTGAATAATCTAGTTTTCGAAAATAATCAAGGCGAGTTCAACTATTTTACTGGATGATTTTTTTTAATACTTAACATGTATATGTTTTTCAGTTGCTTTTGCCATATATTTGTAAGTGTCACTAAGCTAAATGCAGTAACTTCTTATGGAATGTTTATAACGCATCATATTCCTGCCTGAAGTTTCATAAGCAGTCTTGACTTTAAAATTATTTTCTGGTCATGTTCATTATTTTTAAATCGTCATATACTTCAACAACCTGCATGTTAACCTGGCCCGTACATACGTTTTACTATATCTTCATATCTTTTGAATTTAGAAATCATCTGAATCGCCTTTAACATTTATCAATAAACCCATCATAGTCGTTGTTGCTAATCGTATTTGGGTTTATGGATTGGTTTATCATATTAGCAGCCTAAAATGCGAACATAGTTTAGATAATAAGATTAAAAATTTAGGTACTATCAACTGCACTAGTAAAATAACTAAATCCCTAGGTAGCTGTTGGCTAAACAAACGTTTAAAATCAAAACTCCTTAGCCTACTAGAATTAACACTAAACTAATCTTTCTGATATGAATTTTATAATTAAATTAGGCGTCTCGGATTCTTTAACGTTACAAATTTCTGATAATTTCGAATCACCTAAAGCAACAATACCTATTTTTCCACTGACTAATCCTCATTCAACACTATAACTAGTTAAACATAATAGTTTCAGGATATCGTCATAAAGCATTGTCATAACTTGACAATCACGTAATATGACTGATAAAATTGATGAAACTATCAACGAAATCGGTCAGCAAATTGACTTATAATTATCACTAGTGTTGTTTTTCTTTTATCTTCATTCACTACAGATGATTACAGTAGGTTTCTCTATCAGTTGCTCATTCAGTAAATATCTCAAAACCTTGTCAGTCTAATTGATGGTTTAGCGACACAATCATGCATGCAAATAATCAGTATAAGCAGTCGAGCAAATCTCCTGCAAACTGAAAACATCAATGTCGAATTTACCCCAACACTGACTAAGGTTCAAGCCATTATCATAGACATGAGTTGGGAGTGTACTCCCCCTGGTTACAACTTATGTTCTCCCTGATAATCACATGAGCATCACTCACTATTAATCATCTTGTAAAAACTTATTTAGCTAAATACATCTTGCAGCTTCACATCACTTCGTAATATGACACAGGCCTAAGTGATTTTAATAACTTATAACCACTATATCTCAATTAAATCGTATTCCGCCTTATGATAAACTGCATACTTGCAACTAACTTGTATGCCCAATCAGCCGGCAAGTATAAATATAAATAAATAGTCTGCCACAGATCAGAACACTGAGTCTAGAGCATGTCTCTTACGAATACACTCATGTTTAACGATTTGTTTCTAGCTATCTGTCCAAAATTCATATAATTATCACTCACGTATTTAAATTTTGTTTTGATAACCATTCATGTGTATTAGTAGTATTACTAAATTCTATCACGGTCAAGTAAAAATGAGGTTGAGAAAATCTCCCCGTAACTAAATAAACCGTATCAAACTAACAGGAACACTAGTTGGAATTCTTCTCCACGTTAATACTTTTGTTCTTTCAGTTAGCCTACTAATACAGATGCAATTGGAAATCACATATGGACAGGTTACCGGCATAATTGTAAATTGATTTCATAAGTTAAACCAAAACTAATACCAATATTAACATTTCTACAATACTGATTATTTTAATATTTCTAAACACAAAATAATTACTACCTATAAGTTAAGTTATTAACACGCATCGTTTTATTATTATTATTATTGTAATCCCATTTTTTATAGTTCAAATAATCTTCAACCAAGTTTTCATTTTAAGCGTGTTAATCATGAAAGCAGATATTTTAAGATTAATACATGTATTTCCCGACCAGATACTGCCGCTTTCTTTTTGATTTATCTTTCAGCTTACCAATACCCGGAGGATTCTTATTATTCTTGGTAACCTCCGGCGCGCGACGATCCCATCCAATTCGGTATCGAACCAACATCACGTTGATTCTGGTGGGAGAGTAGTGTAGTGGCATTAGACAATAGCCACACAATCCACAAGGCTGTGAACACGAGACTGCTCAGAAAGTAGATATTCAATATTTAACGCGGATAAATACCGAACGATGGAGAAGGCGCGAATAATGAATTGAATGGGCTGGGGTTGATCGAGTGGCATGGCTCGGCCATGCAGGCGTGGTCTCTGCTGAATGTTACCTTATATCTTCTATTCATATTAAATATATTGTTCTTTCTCTAGACTAACCTTGTTCTACATCGTGTATTGGTAATTGATACGATACAGTGAGTTGGTGTAGTCGATGGTGTGACTTCCACGGAAGATCTTATAGATTAGGCAGTTATATCATGACAAATCTACAAATTTAGGATTAGGTCTATTATTAGAGCAGTACTAATATCATAGTAGACCATAGTTCTATAAACTCACCAACAGACTAATGTGTCATAGAGTTTACAACACTACATTAACGTCAAACTATTCTTGTACTGCTGATACTTATTACCCTGATGCCATCAACCAATGTAGTCTAGTTTAGTACTGATAAATTTCGAGATGTCGGAATGAGGGAATTCCGATCCAATCGAATATTAGTCGCTGGTGTGTGTCAAAAATTTCACCTATACTGTAGTACAAGCAAGAACTTACTGTGATCTGACTACTTAAGGTGTTTGGTTTGTTCGAAATTCTGCTTTCAGTTTGAAAAGATTACTTCGTGCTTGTCTGATTCTTGGATTTTTGTACTAATAACTCTATTGTCATTGGTATGATCTCAATTAACTTCCATGAAAATCACAAATCAATAAGAGGTTCATTAAGAAGCTCAATGTGCACACAGGCAGTAATATTTCATTGTTTGGTAGTTGTTGTAACTGTGAGGCAAGACGGTAGCAGGAATATGAAAATGCTGGTCCTACTTGTGTGTCAAGCTCCCGCAAGACGTGGAGTTTAATACAAACAGAGAATTTTATTCTGCAAAGTTATTTGTTGGATGGTGATATTCCTTTTATACCCGCCCAACCCTATCTGTGAGCACGCTTTTTGTGTGAATCAACTCGACAGTTCAGATGACAATCATCAGATTAATTTCACCACTGATGTGATCAGTTCAAGCGCTCGGGAACTCAAGATAGCCTCCAACCAAGAAGAAAAATATACAATAAGTTGTAACTGTAACACATTGTAGCGGCAAATAAAATCTCCGAAATAAATAGCTCTGTAAGTTTTCGACATTGGATGTTGAACACATGTTTTAATGGCCTCACCTAACTGAAAGCGTTCGATCATGCATCCGCACCAGATCGCTAGGGGGAACGCCGTGCTCAACATTTACTGCAATCGGTAGCCAGATTAGATCAGACGATTCTCGATATATTGATAGCCTATCAAATATATCTTCGAACCTCCTCGCTTCTGTCTTTTGATTTCACTTGGTGGGTACGCTTCATATTAGGTGTTACTGGTTAAAGCGTTGTCAAACTCCAAATACCTGTGGCACCTTCAACATCAATTAGTTAGGCATTTAACTAGAAGTTTAGAAAATTACCTACTTATCGGCTATAATACATCATTCAAACATGTTAGGAAATACAACATTTCCCTCCTAATCTTAGTGTTGTATTGAGTAATGACGTAAGCTTCTTCACTGTCCCTTGTGATTTTTTGAAAGTTTGTGATCATTGGGAATTTACACAAACCAAGTCCGACTGCAACTACGTACAACACAGAGCTGAAGTTTGCCTCATGCCGACGTTCTCATACTTGACTAGCTCTGCTCGCACAAATAATATCATGTATTTCACATCGAGTTTGGCAAGCAAATGCACTTGATTTTGAGTACATCTGGATTGACGATGATTTTTAACGCTATATCAAGAGGTGGTATGTATATTCCAGCCGCTCTGAACTTATTATTGTTCTTCCAAACGTTGACAGAACTTGTGCGAGAATATTATTTTTTCTATACTCTTTTTTCCCCCAAAAAATCTCGACCGTTTTCCAGGTCTGACATGTTTGGCTACTCCTCTTCTTTGATGGAACCATCACACAGAGAATTGATTCAAATGTGTCGATTAAGTTTCAGTGCCTAATAAACAATAGCAGGATAACTGTAGTTTCGGAAGATCTAGAACTCAAGTTTTACAGTTGAGCGTGAAGAGTTAAGGTTAAGAGGTTTACCCATGAATCAGTAGCCCGGAGAACAATGGATTGTAAAAGTCCTTTAGCGATATAAAATTATCAGTTCGGAAATACGCATTAGTTTTTACACGCTCCCTAATTTGACATTGAAAATCGAATATCTGGTGTTTGTATCCATCAGATGGGCATTAATCCTATGCTCATAGCACCGTAGTATTTCAAAAATGTCATCTGATGGTAGTTTAGGTGGTTACTTTCTGTTGTCAGTCACTGGACAGATTGAAAAGGCTGACGTAAGATATTAAAGCTATTGATGTATTCCATAGTTTCCACTCCATGACTATATATGGTGCAAGTACTGCTTCGCAACTGGTCAAGACTGGACCAAATTAACCGTAAGATTCTAAAATGACCTATACAACAGAAATATGACAGGGCCTCGATGAAGGGATGACTCAAACTTCTATTAAAGGTGTTGGTTGCAATGATCAGAACAATTTCAACTTTCCAATTGACATTTCATGGAAGTCTACAAACCCATTCGGTTGTACGTTATTTCATGTTTCTGAATTTTAAAGGGCCTCAAATCGTCCTTCATGCTTATGGCGTTGACGTCTTTGGTAAGGATGTTTTGCGAGGTTACGGTGCCGTTCACGTTCCAATGAAGATCGGAAGGTACATTATTATGATTAATCAATATTTTCACTTTGTTTCAGTTTAATGCAAATGGATATTTGTTTTTGAAAACCTCAAGTTGAGCTAATCTGTTTTATCACTGTTTTGCATGTGACAATTGAGATATTTAGCATCGCTGATATTCAAACAGAACCTTAAGTTTCACATTATTTGGGTAGAAGATTGACAAACCTGTATTATCATAGGCAATGAAGTCTTCTGCTAGGTTCATTATCTGCTAAGGAGCACCGTGATAGTATAGGACTTGTTCAACCGTGCTCAGAATATTTTTGTGGTCTAAACGTTGCTCATATAATTTTTTGGATAAATGTGTACCATCGATAGCCAACACACATCACCGAATGTATTTCTATGATGACATATGTATAATATCATTGTGTAGAAACATGTTTCATCGGAAACAATCATTAGACTGCATGTTTTGAAATGATCTATATTCAGAAGTTCATTATTTCTTTTAATTACCGCACATTAATCACTAAATATGATTTAATTCGGTGTGATAACATTCAAGAAGTTGAATAAAGTGTCGAAATCACGATGATATATTCAGAAATTGATGGGTCAAACATGAGATCAAACTTTCTGGTTAAGTTTTGTTGACAAGTTCAGTGTTTTTTATTTTTAACTGAGGGGTGAAGATTTATGTAATTCACCTGCTTTTCATCAGTAGTTTGCTTTTATTTACAAATTGTTTCTGCCATAATATTGGAACCACACATGGATTATGTCTAAATGTTTGTGAATGTTCACCATTTATCTTTAAAGTCCATAACACTCGAAAACTGTGCGCTACAGCTAGGTTAACTTAACGTATAAGAAAGTGTTAGTTCTCGAATTACCTGCATATTGGTACTAAGACATGTTTAAAGCAGTTCTTTAAACTAATTAGTGTTTATACTTTTAAATTTAATGGAACTGTTCATTGTCTGCATTTTGATTATTTTAAAGTTGCTTTTAAATATAATTTCCTGTTATCTACTCCACCTGACAGATGACTGTAAATTTTAGTTTTTAAGTTGTTTAAAATACTGACAACTGACTTGCCAAATATAGTTTTACAATTTTTATTCTTCTTAACACGTTTATAACTGTTCTGGTGAACAAACTATTATCTGCTTTATTTCAGACGATGTCACATCCGTTGATGATACTAGGTTATTGCTAATTTATGTGAATAGACTTACTCATCTTATCCATTTGTTCTTATATATCTTCATGTTAGCTATTTTGGTTATATAAAGCCAATTACTATTATCTACAATTATTCACTTAACTAAGTGATCTGATTTCTTGTAAATGGACAGGGTATGTTAAAATTTGAATAAAGCGAAGTTATATCCAATGAACACAAAATCTTTTGTTTGATTGACGGCTGTTAAAAATTCTAGAACCTTGATTGCAAGTAAATGTGACGAGAAACCAAATATTTTTTAAAGTTTTCAATGTCTAGTTAAGGTTATGACCAGTTTCTTTTAAGGTGACAGTTGCGGTTTACATATGATATTGCCGTTTAATATAATTTTACTTGAACATGGTTATTTATTAACATAAAGGTAATACTAAAATGAGTGATGTAAATGTTTATTACTATCCTGTTGTCATTTAGCCACAGAAAAAGAGTATCCATGTTTGTGCCTCAATCTTCTTCACAGTTAATGAAATTGAATGCATGGTTAACTGGAAAAAGACCAGAGTTTCTTAATCCAAAAGTAATAGCTTATGGTGAGGGTCGTGGAGGTTAGTTATTGAAAACGGATTCTTATAGTTATTTGATTGCTATTAAACCAACTTAATTTTTACGATAAAAGAATCTATCTTTGTTAACTTGTCTTCCAAAGTGATTATCATTCATAACACTATTGAATAGTGATCTCAAACAAATATGGTGCACTTCACTCAGTCTTATGGTTAAACACAAAAAGTGTAATATATAAACCCAGTATTTTGTGCCGCATCTGCAAAACTATGCTGTTTAAAATGTCTGCTGATAGATGATCCTAGTAATTATATTCCCCAAATGCAAATTAAATCTCGATTAATGCATTTAAGAACTCATCTTTCTCTTAAATTTATTTTGTTGTTTGTTATGTCTTATATTTGTATATTATTGGAAAATCTAACAAATTAGAGTGTAAATCGGACTAAGAATGAGTATAAGTAGTTCAACGAAAGTATTAAAGGAAAGGTGAGAAACTAAATTAATTGCGAATGAATTTTGAAAATATCTGACATTTCATTATAATTGTATACAGCTTACGGTTTGAAACCTCAATCCTGGCTATATGCGGTACACTAGGTAGGAATATGCGTTACAATAAATGCAATCTAAAGTTTTGCACTAGTAGCTTGTGGTAAGAATTGTGAGAAAAGTACGTTTTCTAGTGGGTAGCTTCATAACCTTTTTCGCAAATAGCTAGAGGCTTCGTAAAAATTTTTTAAATGATTATTTTGAACGTTTTGTCCTGAAATCATTCTCTTGATGAATTGTTCAAAAGTTAATTTCACATAGCGAGCAGTTGAATGCAGGTATATTCATGATGGAAACAATTAATATTATACGTACTAAGCCAAAATATTGCGGAATAATAGTTGAGATGCTCATTTTCTCTTTTTAGACATATTCTAAGATGTTGAATGAACTGAACTTCGGAATCAATCGTTTCAAACTTAATCTTTAACTATAAAGGGATGGCTTATAAATTTTGAAAACATGGCCATATATCTGATATAAAATCATATTTACATTTTTATTTCTTATATTTGCCTAACCATCGTTAACAACTAATAGGTTGATTGAATTTTCATCAGTCCGTTTACGAGCTTCTAAGAATTTTTATTCATACCATCGTATTCGAATATGTTATGTCAATCAACTCACAAGCTTAATTTTTTACACCTGCTACCCCTTATTGAGCATAGACCACCAACCAGGAGTCTCATATATCTCCTATCCACCTTCAGAGTTTTTTCCTAATTTCCTCTTTACCTAAAAGTTGGTTTGATTCATTCCACAGTTGGCCATTACTGATGGTGCCTGGCCAACGGATTTGGAATATCTTGCATAAACGGTTACTTATGAATACATATACCTTTTTGATGATGGTTCTCCAAGTTTCAGCTGCGTAAGCTAGGACTGTCTTAACGATTATATTAAAAATTCTGACCGGTGTTGAGTGACAGTTATTTTGAGTTCGAGATGTTCTTCAATTCCAGAAATCTTGTCCTTGCTTTGTCCATCCGTGCCTTCACATCTGTATCAGATCTCCCTTGTTTGTCAACAGTGCCACCCAGTTGTGTAAAATCAGAGTGAGCAGCATTGTTTGAAACTAGTCTTCATCTGGAATACATCTGTAAGCTGCCCTCCATGCACAACTTGTTAGTGCAGTTCATCGTAAGAATTTTGCATGATGGCGAGAATCTTCCCAGACACACTGAAGTGTCGAAGAAAGTTTCGCAAAGCTCTCTTATTTATCCTGTTTAATGCTTTCTCACAGTCAGGGAGATTGATGTATAGTGGTGAGTTTTATTCTATTGATTGTTCAACAGTAATACGTAGTGTTACGATTTGAACAGTATATGGTCAATCTTTACGAAATCCGGCTTGTTGATTCTAAAGTTGAAAGTCTACTGAATCTATAGTCAGACTGATCAACACTTTGTCGAAAATATTGCTTGTTACCGGTAGTAGTGTGATACCTCAGTAGTTCTCACAGTTTCTGGGATATTTTCTTGTTATGTTGATGAAGTACTGTACTTTCTAGTCTGCTAGTATTTATCCGTCTTTTCGAATTTTTCTAAAGTTACTATGTAACGCCTTTACAGTTGTCTCTACGTCCGAATTCAGTGCATTATCCCGCATGCTGTCTAGTTCTGCCATTTTTCACCCAAATTTGCCTGTTAACCTTTTTGATTTTGAGTGTTGTTGCGCCAACATCTATTGGGAGGTTTATGTGTGCTGCGTCGAAGATTGGTGGGTTCATTGTGACTTGTCTATTCAGGTGCTCTTCATGATGTCTAAACGCTCTCCTACTGCCTTTGGTCCTCACTGACTAGTTTACCTTCTTTGCATTTGACTGGCCACTGTAGTTAATTATATTCCCCTGTCAGCTCTTGATTACATTAGATAGTTCTTTCATATTACCTTCTCCTGCAGCTTCTGTTGTCCTTCTTAGACCTGGCACATATTTTAGCATTTAAACTTTACTTTTCTTCTTCACTCTCTAGTTTTCTTCTGTCTTTTTGGCCTGTGTCCTGGCTTTCTCTACTCTTATTCAGCTATCACTGATTTCCGTCTTCTTGTTTTCCCTATCTTGGATCCTACCAAGTTATTGATAGAGTTTTATTTTCATGTTGTTTTTTGTTACGATGCGGCATTTCCTGCTATTTCTAAGTTATTGCTCCTTTAGTTCCTTACCAACCATTTTCCGTAGCTGCTTCTAACAGATATCATAAGTCTTGAAACGTGCTATTTAGAGTTAGTTTTACCTCATTGAATCTGTTAACATTTCTTAGGAGTACTATGTTAAACTTTGTAGTTTCGCTAATTTGGTTGCCCGATTTATCTTTAGCTTGACCATCACTAGGTGGCAATGTGAAAATATATCAGCTACTTACTTTGTTCATTTGTCATCAGTCGATCTTGAGGATTTTTTACTGATACAAGTGTGACCGACCCAGTTCTCTTTAGTGTGATCTAGTAAAACTCATAGCTCTATGTATGCATTTGTGGAGGATAATGGTACCATGTATAACAATATTGTTGGAATTGTTATGTTTCGTTATTGCTTGAATGCGATTACTGATGCGTCTTACTCGAAACGGAACGAAGGATCAATGATTCAGCGACTCGATAGACTATTCTGGTCCGTTGTCTTCGACTCAGCTAACTCGATCAAGAAGTCTTGGTAAGGCGTAGAAAGTATATTCTACAAGCAACAGCAGATAACAAGTCAGGCAGGCAGATCAGATCAAGCATACAAGTCAAGCGTATTTATACAATTATTTACAATCGATAGAAAATTTTTAAACATTAATCAATGAGTTCATTAATTGACCTATTTGCGCATTTAATCGATAGTTCATCAATTGACCCCAATAAAAATATCTAACATTTGATCGATAAGATAAAATTTAAAATATGAGTTTGGGGATCTATCGTCCCCAACAGGAATAAAGTAAGGGTTTCAGTCTCTCAGCATTCCCGTTTTTAGCTCAGTGCTTTTTGCAGTGTAATCATTATATCGTCCGTAATCTTAGTGTTTCATTTAAAAGCTGTCAGAGCTGGTTGTAGAGCTTACATCTCAGGTCAATGTAAAAGGGCTTTTGAGCCCTCCATAATCTTTCTTGAAATTAATGATGACAACAATTGAACCTAATTAATGTTATTTACTTTAAAGTTTCGATTCTGTTGGTTTGGTCTGGTAGTGCTGTATTTAGAAAAAAAAACACATTCGAAAGCTCTTCTGATACACTTTATCCTAGATTAGAAGAGTCGCTGAACCTCCCTTCAGCCACCGTTGAGGCGTCTTCTAGCAAATGAGTGATAGACATCAAGTTAAGGTGCCTTAACCATTCTATTGATCCTGTGGTGTGGTTTCGGCATCGGTAACAACAAAGGGTAAGAATGTTTACATCAACGTTGTGGTGTATTTTATTATATAACTACTTAAAATTTCTTTTGGCTTTAAAGCTCTACCTTATCTTTACTATCTTTTTACTTTTCTTTCAGTAACTAAAGTGCAAACCCAAGGTTTCGTAGATATCATATTCAATATCGCCGTAAAAAATCTACAGAATTTAGGTTATGCTAATGATAAGAAAAGGGAGACTTTAACAGAAGATTTATTGATGCTAATAAATAAAGATCCAATATAGAAATTATGAAAATGTTTTATTATTATTATTATTATTATTACATAAATCTCTTCCCTTTGTTAAGTGAATCTGACAAGATACTTGATAAACAATAAATTATTTAGTTTGTTGTTGTATTCTCTCTTGTTACTTTAATTTTTCACAGTTTTAGCTTACTTTAAACTATTGGTAAGTTCTATCCAAAGAATGACTGTTGATAAATCGAAATATCTTAATTCTAACGGATCGGTAAGACCACAGTTTAGCATTATTGAGAATATTCAGATAAGTTTTTATAATTTAAAATAAATTGATAAAAAGAATTGTTCATGCAAACATTCAGGCTATAAAACACAATGTCACCAATATTAATAATAATAGCTTTATTCAATACTATAAATTTTAGTGAATAAAGGAATCATCAGCACCTATTGTACAATATTACACCAGATACCTCTTCAACATACATTCAAACTGTAATTATTTTAAAACATGCTTAAAAGTGTTTTTAACGTTCAATATCCCCTACCTATATTCAATTCCCGAAGATTTCTATCAGCTTACCTGCTACAATTAACTTTGTATTCATCATAAATAAATTGCTTGAATCCCAGTACATTTGTCTCTCATCTTATCAAAAAATAGGTAAAGAAAAAACCTACCAAGAACTGTAGTGCTTCCGTCTGCTTTTTTTTCTGTATTTAGCATCACGATAATTTGTGACTGTTTTATGATAGCGTATGAGTGCATACAGAGTTAGAATTCACTATTGTTCAGCTCGGACAAATCTGAAAGAAGCTATTTGATTGCTGAAATGACTCTCGGTTTTCTTCTTTACACGAATGGGATGCTAATTTGCCCTAGACGAACATATACAGTAGATACCCTCTCAGTATCTATTTTACAGGACTTCAACACAACTCAGATCAAGAACACGTGACTGGCCTGACCAGAACGTAAGTATATTTCCACTCCAACAACGCACAACAATTACAACAATAATAATAACAGTAATAATAATAGGGGTGTGAAAATATATAACCAATCTAACACCTGTCAGACTATTTACTAGTCTGACTAGACAAACAATTGATCATTATTTGCATTATTAGCACAATTGAAAAATAGGTGGACCGAACGTTTATGTAGACTAAGATGAAGCGGGGCGATCCTCACAGGAAGCACATATGCCAACAAGAGACCGATCAATTGCAATCCTAAGCAACAGTGGGAAGATAGAAGCAAGCAACACTAAGTGAATTTAAACTTAACCACATTGCACGAGCAGTTGGCGATCAGGACTCATTAGCTAAATGGATAACGTGATGGCGTTTGAAGTGAACGGCTCTGGGTTTGAGTCCCGGAGTGAACATCAACTCTGGAATGCAGGTATATTCAGCTGGCGAAATCCATCTTTTCATTCTACTAAACATTAATTAAAAACATTTAAATGTAAGACACTACGAAATGTATTGTTGGTATATATATGATAGGGTCAGTGATGAATGACACTTCTTAAACAATAAATCCATTTAGGCGCAATATTTTAACCGGGATGTTGTAAAATCTTTGTCAGTACTCTTGAGGATCTAAGTGCCGGAGACAATCTTGTTTCTCTCATTTTGTAAGCAACTATATTCCTGATCAAGATAATTAACAGTTACATTGTTATTTCGGTAACTGAATAGTTGTAAATTCTTTAATAAACTAATATAGCTAACACATGTTCCTAACGAAAAATTCTAGATCTTTTCCTACCCAACGAATTTTAAAGATTATGAAATAAGATTCTACAATTTGACTTGAATTCTGTCGGACCACGTTTGGATGACAGTGGGAATAGAAGAAAAAAAATTTGTTTCAAAACGTTCACTTGTCTTGGCTATTGTTTGGCCTTTAAAAATTCTCCTACTGTTCAGATGTTTAAATATGTTTCATATGTGAAACAGTGGGATATTTCGTATTTTTTTTCCACCTACCTGTGTGCATTATGTTTTTACGAAAAACGGTTTACTACTTATAAGTAGGTTTTTAATACATCTTGATATTAGTTTAGGTAAAAAAATGTCTTCGTGATAGATGATATTGGTATATTTATATAATAAACTCCTATCAGGTGTTTAAAATAAGTAATGTAATGGTTATAAATATTTTGATTTGGCTGTGCGCTATTCTCATGAGAAATTAACTATGACATATTGTTAAGCAATTTAATTTGGTATTCCAATTCACATCCAATTAATAAATAAGTAGAATGACCAGTATGGGAATGCGAAAGAAACGTTTGTAATCATGGAGAAATTTTGAGTGAGTCATGGCCTCTTGTTTTATTAATGAATATATAATCTATTTTATTTTTTAGGAAAACCCTAGTCATATTTTCTTTATATGATTGCCAAGACAGATATTTCAAAGAGTGTAGTAATTTGTTTCTACACAGACAGCTATGACTAGTATCACTATTTCACATCTAGGGAAATATTTATAATATTCAGGATTTGAACAGCTAATTTTTTCCCACAACACTGATGATGAATAGCTAACAAGCCTTTCTTAATTAATCTAACTCAACACTGTTCAATGTAAAGGGATCTACTAAATACGCTTGTTTTAACCAACATATTGGCGATTAATTTCATGTCACATAAGTTTTATTGCCGATCAACGGTAACAACTGACACTCTGGAACTGACTTCAGAACAAAAGTAACAATCAATTTTAACACATTCCTCACCTTATGTATATTTTATCATTGTATTGTTGTAATATTTAAAAACTAATCAGGAGTCCAATTTATTGGTTACAGCTGTACTAGGAATGAGAACTGAGCAAAAATTATCAACTGCATGAATTACTGTCAATTCTTTCGTCTAGGTTATTCCTCCAGGAAAACCCTTTAGAATAGGGATATCATTTCATTAAAGGAATAGTTTATTGACTTTAAGGAGCATTCTATATTAGACAAAAATACTTCTTAGTGCAAGCATATTTAACGCGTCTGCCAAAAATCATGTAGTTCATTAGCCCTACAACAATAAATTGATAAGCAACTGAAAGCTGTTATGTACTACAGTATGAAATTTTTGGTTTTAATTTTACGTTGACAGCTATTGTCATTTCACTGATTGTAACGAAATGGCAATCTTAAGTACTGAGAAATTCAGAACATTAGGAGTCATCTTCAAAGTGTGGTACTCATATAAAAATGAAATAATCAACAGCTTTCAAATTCCCAAATTTTGTTTTAAGTCACTGGATTTCGAAGGTTCTAGAAGTCTTAATTTGACTGTATTAGTTATTTGAAGACTAGTTTGGTTAACAACATAAAACCAACATTTAATTTCATCCAAAATAGGTATGTTTATGGTAACTACAATAACTCCTAAATTCCAACATAATACATTCATTCGTTCAATAAGAGTTTGAAATACTGAGTATTAGACAATAACTTTTGACCAGATTTAGGGTTAACTTCGAAATCCTTATTGTTCAGCTAAGTGAGTTCTTGATGAAGAAGTGAAATTTGTCCATCTTTTTACAATGTCCTCGTGATCTTATATCTTAACTGTTTCCATTGTTTGGTAAATCTAAATATTATGTACTTTCAGTTTAAAAAATTGATAGTATGGGTTTGTGTCAGTCCACTTGTTGTTCATTACATTCTCCCAAACAGATTTATTTTAAAAAGCCAAGGGAAATTAATTGCTTGAAAATGGAATTAGCAGCTGATAAATTTTAAACTAATGGAAGCTTAAACATTGAATTAGAGAGGAGAACTTATTAAGTAACCATTAGTTAAGGTCTAAATGAGCAGAACAACTGAGGATACTTATTATAATCAAAGCTTTGTTAACTTGTTTAACGGTCCATGAATGTTTTAAACAATTCATCAGTATTCTCTTAGACAAATTTCCTAAAAGTAGCTGACTAAAGCGTCCAAAATCACCTCCGATAAGAAATGTAATTTACTCGTAACCAGTAGCTTTTTCCATCTATACATTCTTATATGTTTATTAGGCGGTAGGTAATACAATCACAAAGTATCTTTATACTACTGTAGTGTTATGCTTTGGAAATATAACTTTAAAAAGCTTTGAATATTTTGAAAATTTCTCCGGGTTGTTGAGTTCTCTGAGATAGATGAATTAACTGAGGAACTTTCATAATCATTTTGGACATTTTCAGCAAATACTTCATTTAAAACTATCTAGATTAGAGAACTCAGCACGATCAAAAGAAACCACCTGAGCTACAAATGCTCTTAATCATTTAAGAGTATCTTAAGATTACTAGAAGTATCAAGAAAAAGTGTGACACATAAGTTACAAGTTTGCTGAAAGTTACACAGCAACGGAGATTTTCTGTATCGAATAAACATATAAATATACAAGTACAGATTTTTTGAATTAAACTCTCTAATTAGCTACACTACTTATCGAATACCTGAGTCGTCAGTCATCTACGTAAAATAAAACTGTGCGACAGATACATTTCAATGATGTAACACCTGGAACAGAAATATCAGACTTCACAAAATAATTATTTAGTTCCACCTTTGCTTATTGTATTTTATGTTAATACAAACATATGTTTTATACACATCAAATCTTATCTGTTTGTCTTTTACCAGTGAGTTAGTCCATTATTCTTAGTCTGACTTTGTTTGATGCATGTAACTTAGTCCTCCACGTAGTTCGCTCATTACTGATGACCACATCATCATGACCAGTTTACCTTCTGAGTAAAACCGTAAAGATCATTTACTGAATTAAAACTATTCTCTCTCTTATATTCATTAGAATAATGAGATTGCACGAGATATCGTTTTGATTTAATCTTCATTTTCCTATACCTCATTAACGCTTAAGTGTTTTATGATCAGTAACTCAACATTACGTCACATAGGTTATATTTATTTGATTTCTTCAAAGTAAAAATGTTGTCCATGGGTGAAAATTTGTTTCACTTCGTTGTTCTTTCTACTTTATCTATTTAGTACTGCATATAAAAAGTTGTAATAT